ATCGTGAGATGCGGTCTTGTGTGACGTAGGTTTTAGAAAAACATTTTCTTTGTCGTGCCAACGTTTCGATCTTCATTGAGATCATCTTCAGGGCTCAAAGTATTTGTTTTCTCGTAATTGTGCCATTTTTGTGTGTCGGGCACTCTCAACCCTTTGAACCCCGAAGACGATCTCAATAAAGATCGAAACGTTGGCATGATAATGTTAATAATAAAATGTTTTTCTAAAACTTACGTCACACCACATCGCGTCTCATGATCTCCGAAAATCATCGACTAATCATCACATATATGTATAAAGTGTATGAAAGGTAAAGAACTTTGAAATATATTGTTGAATCAACAAATTTTAATGGAAAAATTAATTTGTAATATTACAACAATACTGTATTAGATTGATAAATAGTTAACGACAATTCGCAGCTATTTCGAACAGATGACCGAATTTATTTTGCCATGATCTAAATTAGCGATTCCAAACACAAAAGCAAAATTAGGAGGTTTATGATTAATTATTCACACTAATTAATAGCAGTTGTACTCCAGCGTCGACATTTTCATTTAAACAATGCAACAAGGAGTGAAAATGAAGAAAGATTCACTGGGTAATGAATTTCTAAGCGCCTATTTGTGCTTTTTTTAGTCAGAAATCCACTAGCACGTCCTTATTGATGCCAATGGAAAGGCCCTTTAAATGCAAGACTTTTGCAAAGAGCTTCTAAGCAAGTACAAGCCATTACCCGGCCTCTTGTTAACTCTAAAAGGTTTACTCAATCCGACGTCTTTCCCGCAATGGCTGATTCATATGACAGGAATTCATGAATCATTGATGGAAGTACCTTTCATGCCTCGTTTAATTATTTTAACGAAAGCAACGACAAAGGCTTGAATAATTTATTGTTGGAGGGTTTGATAAAAAAAAAAAGGGAATTAGTACCTTTGACTTGGTCCTACGGATTCACTGCACACTGGTCTTCTCGTTTTGTAAAATAACACACGGAAAAATAATAATGGAAATTTAAACTGCCGTACTGTTAAAGATATAGCACCAAATTATATTAAGAGATATTAGAAACCCAAAGTTTTCATATTTTATCATTGGCAATAAACACCAATAGGAATAACAAAGAAAAAATACGTTAACAGATTATTACACAAATTCATACATAATCCAATCAAATAATTAAGTTGAAAATAACTCAAATGAAACTTGGAAAAGGATCAGACCTCTAAACAGAATATACAAACCAAATTTACCTAAAACATGTAGAAAACTAAGATTATTGTAAGAAATTATTATTTTTTAAATCCTTGGTGTTCTTTTCACTTCTTTTAAAACGTTTTCTCCGGCCGTCGCACAGTGGGTCAAATAGCTATATCTTAGGAGATATACCAAATCAAATCCTCTGTTAAAAAACTGAAATTAGAGATACCATTTAATATTTAGGCAACAATTTTAGAGCTTCATACTATTTTAAAAATATTTTAATTTTGAGTCTACAATTTAATATTTTGCAAAGCACATATGCATATGTATGTTAGCAGAAGACTATTTTTCGAGATTAAAAATCTTAATTATTTCTAATGTTATTAATGGCTCCGAGGACAGATCCACTGTCAGAATGACCGACTCGTGAGAATGCTATTTTTTTAAAAGAAAATCTTTTCGGGAAGAATAACTTGTTTTGAAAGATGATTTAATCCGAAGAAAGAATTTTTATTATAATCGTACATTCTTTTATATTCAACCTTTCGATAAATGCACACAGCGATCAAAAATTATTTTCTTTTTTAAAAACGACGTGGGAAGATTAATTGTTGCATAGCTAATTATTTTGTAACTAATTAACAGTTAATTGTTTAAAGATTATTGTATTAACTGTATTGAACAATTAGAATGAGGATATGTAAAAGTTGAAGAAAAACATTTCATGTCGTCCCTCAACGCTCGAAAATCTACCCCAAAATAAAGCTCGAGAAATGCAAACTAGCGAAGCCTAATTATAATAGATACCTAGGGAAATAGTCGTAGGGAAGAGGCCCCACGTTAATCCTTCTGGGAGGTCTGTAAGTGGCGGGTGCGACAAAATGGCAGTGCCTGGGAATGTGAGTGGTTGACACGAGTATGGAGTAGCTAATATTTGATTGGAGTTGAGTTACTAGTCAGTTAATCATGAAGACGATTGGGCTAGATCTTTGCTAGATTTTTTTTGTAGTGAGCGAGCTTTGGAGGGGTAGTGACTGGCTTCGGCTTACTTACATCCGTTGTGGCTCTTAGTCAATAAACGTTGTTATAAAATGTGATAGTCTGTAGTACTTTCTTATCACTTCAATGACGCCAAGCCTGACAAATGATCAGCTCTCCGAGATATCATCTCCCTCCTCGGCTGTTAACCCTTCCTCAATCTATGATATCAGAAGTTATCTATATCAATCTCAAGCCTATCTCGATCTACGACCTCTACACCACCCCATCAATCTACGATATCTGAAGTTGGATAGGATCTGCTTCTCTGTCTGTCTCTCTTTCTCTCTCTCTCTCTCATTCACTCTCACTCTATCTATCTATCTGTCTATTTTTTTCCTTCTCTCTGCCTTTCTGAAATCTCCGACGTATATAATTGTTTTAATTTTCTTTTTTTTCTTTAAATTTTGTTATAGGAAAAAATTAACTTTGCTATAGTTGATTTGATCGTTTATTTATTTGATTTTCTTTTTGATCGTACCGCTCTTTCAGTATCTTCCTGTAATGAGTAAAATTCTCAGGAAAAAAACGGATATACGGCATTGAATCACAAAAAAACTATTCCGAGTCACCAGTTTGGATTTAGGTCCCTATGCTCTACAATCCATCTATGTCACGCGTTGTGGAAGTCATTTCATCCTCCCTTGCGCAGAAGCAGTGTGGTGCGGGTGTGTTCCTTGACATTGCCCATGCCTGTGACAAGGTTTGGCACCCGCGCCTCCTGTTGAAGCTGACAGGCATCCTTCCCAGTAACTACTACCTAATCCTAAAATCGTACCTGGCTTACCGTTAGGGCATAACGATATCCTCTGTTTATGCTACCCTAGTTGTTTAGGAACCCCACTTAGTAGCATTCTCGGACCTCTCTTTTACACGAAATATTATACATTTTTAAACTTAAAACATTTGCTGACGATGTACCAATCCTTGCCCCCCCATCACCGAAAGTTTCAAAACCATTTGCAGTGCCTCGCATATTGTCCAGAAAGAGAATTAAAATAAATGAAACAAAGAGCAACTAGGTTAACGTCTCACTCAGACGGATTATACTAACACCAGTTTACTTTTTACGGGATTTCACTACCCCTTGTACTTACTTGGAATCCACAGACAAGGATAAAACGGAACGAACTAAACAGACGTTACTAACTGTTGTCACTACTACTCTACAAAAAATCCCAACTTCCATTTAACAATAAAGATTGATATATACCATAGGCCTCAGACCTATGTGGACTTAGGTATCTATGGAATCATCCAAACCTTCCAACCACCAACGAATTCAAAGGTTACAATCAAAAATTGAGTTATCCGTCTACATCCCGTCCCTGCTTCTATGGGGGAATATGTGTTATTAACCTAGGCATAGTATTTTTTACTTCATGATATAATAATGTATTTGCTAAGTTATTTTTGGAATAGATTATAAAATTTATAACTTTTTCTTTTTATCAGAGTTAGAGGAAAGCACTCTAATAATGATGATTGAGAAAACATTAATTTTTACTTACTGTAGAATTTTCAAAATGGACTTTGAACAGCGTTTTCTTAAAATCAGCATTTTGTCACTTTCACCCTTTTGCATCTGACCCCCTCAAATAACTTATATTGAATTAAATAAGTTTTGTAAAAGATTACATAAGCTTCAATGCAATGAATATTATATCTTTCACAAAAGTGAGGTCTCAGGTCATCTGTTGAACGCAAAAAATCCCAACTGGCTGGGATCGATTCACATGTCAAAACAAAACGGACGTATACGCCCGATTAAGTGGATTCTAGTGTGAGAGGGTCGATTACATTCCCTAGATTGGAATTGTTTTTGTGAAGTTAGGGGTTTATGGACGCATTCAAAAATTGGACGTAGTCGGTTCCAGTATGAGAGCAGACTAACACACTGACATCATTGCTTCCCGCGTCCCCCCCAAAAAAAAAAACTTCCAAAAAAATAAAAACCTCAACCGGATCAGTCCCATATTAACATTTGTCTGAGAGGATTGTCAATTTTAATTTATTATGGTTTATTAGTTGAAGCTGAAATATTACTTTCATAAAAACTTTAGATACAGGGGTGATATCGTTGAGATTTTTAACAATAATTATACCCAGATGTCACCTATAAAGTTGACTGCAGCTTGTTGGAAATTGGTGGACATGTTTAGGACTAAATCGACACTATCACCGGCACTGAATCGAACTAAATATTCTTACAAATGGATTTTTTCAAAACAACGGCCCCCCGGGGGTTCATAATATGATGAACCTTCGAGGTTAGAGTATACCCCTGGAAGGAAGGACGCCCTTGAGCATGAACCGCAAGTCCCGGTGCTACTCACTCTACATATATTTTTCCTTTTCCCGTTATTTTTCTCGTAATATATGTTTCCCTTTTAAGGTCAGTCCGGCGTTAAATGTGCAGTCGATGTTTTTCGGTTTCCTTTCCTCGCTGTTTTGGTCTTAGTAAAAAGCTGACTCTTTTTAAATTTATCTCTATAGTCAGTGCTTGTTAGACAATTGAAAACGACAAACTACTTTATTGTCCTTTAACATACGATACCTCATGCCTCGAAGATGTACAAATCGCGAAAGAGAAAAAAAAATGCAAACTAAATAATGCACAAATATTCTTAAGATACGCGAGAAACATTTTTGTAAAATTTTTCATTCTGTCACGTTTTTTTTCTGAACCTTCATACCAAGTAACCTTCATAACCGTCTTTTACAAATGTTAATGAAAGTAATAAGAGAAAAAAAACCTTTTGCTTGAGGCGAGATAAGTAATAGGTTTGCTAGTGCTGCTCCCGTATCATGTCCCATTAAAGTAACACGGCGAGGGTCACCTCCAAAAAACGCTATGTTGTCCCTGACCCAACGTAGTGCTGCCATGATGTCGTCTGTTGCCAACGGGCTGTCTATTCCAGAGCCAGCTCTTAAAAAACCTGGAAAAAGATTAAATACGTTAAATACAAGCTAGGATTTTATGTACAGGACATGTTAGTAATAAAAGATCATAGGTAAATTGAACGATAAGAAATTTTTTCATATAATTTCCTCTTTCTCGGAGATGACTATTATATGGAGGTGACAACCAAGGTTAAATTGCTGTGTGCCGTTATTAAATTATCATACAGGGTTTCATTGGTTGCAAAATGATTATTAATTTATAATCGTCCTCTGGATCAAAATTAACAATGAAAATATAATTGAGAGTTGGTATCGACAAAGATTCCGTTTTCTCTTTTATTAAACTCATCGGTATTGCAATTAATTATTGACTGCAATAATAAAATTTATTTTTCATCTTTTGATCAAACTACGTTAATAATGGTGTAAACACGCAGGCAGAATATTAATTAACTGGGTGCGTGGGCGTTCGAAGCGCATTTTACATTATGCAACTTCTTCCATCAACCAAAAGGTTCCTTTGTTTAGAACAGGTTGTGTGCAAAACTGGATGATCTATTTTGTATATTTTTAATCATATTTACGCACGTTAACCGACACAGAAATTATTTTGTTAATTGAAAGGATATAGGATGAAAATAGAAGTGACTAAATAAGGATGATGTGAAAATTCAATTTCACATAAATGATCTGGGTCTGAAAATCTAATGTTCTTAGCAAGTACAGGGCTTGTGTATTAACAAATATAAGAAATGTTGGCTGGTGATTGATGGTTGGTCGGTAATTCGAAGTTTTCAACTCCCTCTCACAGTGGGTTATGATCAACGGCCAAGGTCTTCAATAAATCACACATCTCTTCCTCATCAAGTTCTTCGCCGTGTGAGCCGGCCCCATTTCCTCTGCGCTTTAGTCCTTTTCATTTCTGACGTCTTGTTCCGACTGTAAACCTTAGGCGGTGTTCTCCGTTCGGACCCATGGCTGATTAAACATCCACCGACGGTGCGCATTACCGGTCTTCAACCCTTAAGCACCCACGTAATATTAAAGCGGAAGTGATGGTGAACGCCCCTCATTAGCCGCATTAATTAGTTCTACCATATCCTTTGAAGCCTCGTTGCCTTCGGAGTTAATTTGCTAAAGTGTTCAGAGAAATCTAGAGACGAAAACGCTACACTTAAAAGCTGTTGTTTGTTCCTAATTAATTTCGGAAGATTTGGAAGAGATAAGATTATACTCTTAGTCAATCTTAGCAACTAAATTAATTACAACAGTGTAGAACGTGTTAAATATCATTTGAGACGGATATAAAATGTTTATTTCAAATTTAAAACTGCCAACTGTCTTTTTAATCATCAGTTATTATCCCGGGTCATATTTCCTGGACCAACAAAATGAAATTGTTACAAAATTGGGTAATAAAAGTAAAACTTGTTTTATTTTCACAATCTGAAGAAACATCTCTCTCTCTCTCTCTCTCTATATATATATATATATATATAATGTATATATATACTGAGAGGCAAAAAATTCCGCCCATCTGAATTATAATTTGATTTGAATATATTTGTATATATTAATCAAAGTTTCACGTTTTTTAACGTTTAATAATTGAGTCTTTATCTAAAAAAGTAATAAAAAATGTCAATTTCTAAGGAAAATGAAAAATAAAAAAAACACGGACAGATAAAATTTGTTTTAGATTTTTAATTAACATTTCAATATCACGTATTTCCTACTCTTGCGTTAATTTACGAAGACGCTTCGGCATACTTTCTACGATTGTGTTGCATTTGGTCATGCTGTCGTTCTGTTACTAGGGCGGCCAGAACTGGGCGTTCTATGGTAGGACCCAGTTTCTCGAAAACGTCTAACGGCGTCTCGCAGTGTTTCGTATGGAATTCCGATGGCAATAACCGCAACCCTGATGGAACGTCATCGTCAATAAGTGCCAGACCATGCGCAACATCCTCAGCACTGAGTGGCATTTTTAAGTTTAAAAATTGAAATTAAGAAAACAAAGATGTAATCTAAACAGTTCATTGCTTCAGAATTCAAATGAAACTGAATAAACGTTTTAAATTCCGTAAAAAGAAAACACTGAAAAATCCTTTATCCTTGTTTTGGATTAAGGATTAAGTGTGTTTACCTCTAATTGATATTCCCAATTTAAAACATACCATGAACAAATATTTATTGATAAAAACAATGAGACAAATTAAGGGCAGAATTTTCTTTTCTAGAGAAAATGAAAAAAAATCAGGGTGAAACTTTTTCCCTGTATATATATTTGTATATATATATTTGTGTGTGTGTGTGTGTTGTTTGTTATTGTTGACCTGAAGGGAACCTGTTACTACTACCGACTTTTACTATCTTTCTAACTCTCACCCTCCTTCCCTCTCACTTCCTTCCCCTCGTCTCGCTATCTCTGCCTCTTATTTGCTCTCCTTCTCTTTCTTAGGCTCTCTTCTCTCTCTCTCTCTCTCTCTCTCTCTCTCTCTCTCTCTCTCTCTCTCTCTCTTTCTCTCTCGGCCTGGTTTGTTCAGACTAAAATTTTAATGGATAATAAATAAATCAACGGTCGCAAGATAGACGTAGAATATCATCGGGGTACAAATTTTTGGCAGCTAGAAGATAGTTCCGTGTGAGACGGGAGTGTTTCCTAATAACATTTAATTAATGGACTACAAACAATTTATGAAAAGTGAAAACAATAAAACAAAAAAATGAGATTTTACAGCTAATTGCAATTTTTACAATAAACAAATAAAACAAAGGTATTTAACCTAACTTAATCCCTAACTTCCTCGTGCTTCCTATATCGACGGGCCCTTGGTGAACTGGCTAATTCAATTTAACTGGGCCTGAACTTAATTACCCTGTTACTACTATATTTGTACCTTAACTTTTAAAACATCAAGAATAATTTTATTTAATTTTTTTTTTGTTTTTGTTTGGGGAGTCCCCATTACCCATGACCCTAGTATTGGTGGAATGGTGATACCAGCAGCGCAAAACCGGAACCCGGGAAACGAAGACGAGCGCACCACCCCGGCACCACGAACGGCCGCGACGGGAGGGGAGAGATGTTATTTCATTGTTAAATCGTAAAATTATGTTCCTATTCTAGAAATTCCTAACTTAGTTTTTAAGAATGTTACGAGAGACCAACGTCTAATTTTGTTTGCTTGTACTATTATAAAATAGTAGAGATATTTATCTTTAACCAAAATTAGCCAAACTCTATTTACTCTTGCGATGAAATTCTATAATAATATGCTCTCTATAAAAATATAAGTTATAAGTTAAACTTACTCTCATTTTATTCATTTACTAAATTGTTAATTATACAATAATTTGTTATTTTAATTTTGAGTCTGATGCTACTGTAAACAACAATTATAATTGTTATTACACTTAACTTGTAATAAAGGTCTTTGAGACCAAATATTTATTTGTGTGCATTTTAATAAATAAAACGTTAATTGATCAATCATTTATCTCTCTCTCTCTCTTGCTCTTTTTTCTTTCATAGTAAATTTCTATAATAAACTTTTTTGAAAATATCCAACAGAAAACTGTGTATGTGAGAGAGACATCGCGCTGAATAAAACCGAATTCATTCATGTCTCTCTCACTCTCTCTCGCTCTTTCTCTCTCTCTCACTCTCTCTCTCACTCTCTCTCTCACTCTCTCTCTCTCTCTCTCTCTGTCTCTCTCTCTCTCTCTCTCCCACACACACACACACACACACACACATTCTATAGTAAAGTTTTGCTTCGTTATCTCTAGAAATATTCACTATTTGTTGAACGGAACGAAGAGTTTCTAGGTTTAGTCACAAGTGTAATTCGCCGCTCGTGCGTTGTTCGTCTTGAGGGGCGGAAGCTGGAAACCCAAGAGCGTTCCAAGCTTTTATTCAACCGAGTGGCCCACTCAACAAGAATTCTCTTACTGATGAGAAGGAAGCGGGCCGCACTTCAAATCTCACTTTCCACCTCCGGCCCATTGCTCTGATAAACGGGCGGGTAAGAAATGGAAACATTCCACGCGACTCTTCCTGCCTGTAAAACACCCAACGGGAAAACTAATGACGGCAGGTTCCGTCTGCATTTGTTTTACGACCTGTCACCAGAGAAGTTAATAGTTGTTTTAAACCTGAAAAGATGAAAGGTGATGAAACAGTGACGAGAAATAGCATTTTATATCACACACACGCGAGTGCCCACACTCACCCACTACGCCATCACCCTTTCTCTCTCCCTTATTTTTCCCTTTTTATATGACTATTTAGTGAGTTAAGTTTTATTTGTAGATTTATATTGGTTATTTATAATTCATTATTTGTACTGCATTGTATTGAAAAGTGTTTTTGTTCACTTATTTCATTTTATTAGTAATTTTCTTTTTAATTGCTCATTATTATGTAAATTATAATATTTATTTCAATAAGCAATTTTAAGTAAATTTCAATGTAAAACGAATATATGGAACATATTGACCACAAAAATAAAGTTATTCGATGTAATTAATGTTTAATAAATTAGAAGTAGGTTAAACTTAGTAACCATTGCGTTTCACAATAGATGTAAGAATGGTCCATGAGACCAAATCTTGTATGAATGATAAATAAAGCGTTCTTCATCATCATCCCTTTCTCTTTTTCCATCTCTCCCCCCTCTCACTCTCTCTCTCTCTCTCTCTCTCTCTCTCTCTCTCTCTCTCTCTCTCTCTCGTTTTGTCTATATATGTCCGTATATTTCTTTAATCTTCTCTCTTTCTCGTTCTCTCTCTTTTTTTTCTCTATGTTAGTTATTTCTCTGTTCTTCTCTATTTTCATTCTTTTTCTGACCCTCCCTCCCTCTCTTTCTCTGTCGGTATGTCTGTCTGTCTATCTACATCTCTCTCTCTCTCTCTCTCTCTCTCTCTCTCTCTCTCTCTCCACACATATTAACAAACAGAAGTCAGGTGATAAAAACACAGGATTCTGAAGAAAAATTCATTAATCACGGGTCTCCACAAGGGTATACTATGT